CGCCGAGATCCAAGTAGGTGCAAGCTGTCTCGTTCATCAGAAAGTTGACACAGCGCTGCGCTTGATACTTTTACTTTGTGTGTGTGTGCCGCGCACCAAGGCTTCGGCGATGAGAGCCTTGATTTGGCTTGGTCCCCAAGGCTGAGTCCAGCATTCACATGACTTGCGCGCAAGCAGTGAATTGCCAAGGTTATCATCAGCGAGGTGACTCATGAAATGCCGAAATCAACCAGCTGCATGCTTTTCAAAGAAGCTGCGCGGGTGCTGGCGCCTGGCGGGGTGCTGGGATACTTGGCCTGCATTGGCGACGTCCGAGCTGTTGTCCAGTAGCGCATTTTGCCCAGTGGACGCGCAAGCAGACAATGCGTAGCAAGGATTCTTGGACATAAACTCCGCACAGATCTTGAAGGACAACTCGGTGGGAGCCATTGTGGACCGCATCGCAACCAGCAACGAGCCATATTTTGCCGATTACCTGGAGCTTGATGTTGCAGAAGCTCTGAAAGAGGCAGGGCTTGAGGTTGTCGAGAGGACCTGGCCCCATCGTTCCAAGTATCCCACCTTGGAGTCGTGTTCCCTGCGCATCTTTGTGGCCAAGAAGCCAACGGCCATCTCCATCGATACCTGGAAGGGAGCCTGGGCCTTGAGCAGACGCGAGGACTACGAGAGCTACTTGGCATGTGCTGGAGTGCCCAAGGAAGCATGGGAAGCTGCGACAAAGGATCCGGATTTTCACGAATACCTGGTTTGCAAGGACAGCTTCTTCATGGACCACCGCATCCCTTCCAGAGGCGTTCATTTGCGATTTACAGGCTACCTGCATGATGAGTGGCACGCTGCTCCATACAAGCGGCCAACCTCCAAAGAGTTTGAGGCAGAGAAAGTCGCCGCTACGGACATGATGTGGAAGCACAGGCCGGCTGAAATGTTCGAAGCGCCAACTAAAGGAGGAGCCTGTTCAATTCCCTCAATGTTGAGTCTAATTTGGAGTCCCCATCGAGGTGGGTGACCTTCCCCACTGCATTTGAGACCACCATCTCTGAGTTCCTGGGGGTGGGGAAGGACATGGTATTGAATCGGGAGGTGCTTCAGCCAGACGTGCTGAAGATGACATTGAGCATCTCGGAGAGTGGCACAGGACAGATCGGGATGTTTGTTGCAACTCCCATGAATCAGATGGAGCACTTTAGGAGCACCAAAGGGAATCCCTGAAAAGGGTAATACGACGTGCCCTTTCTTTCGACGGGCGCCTTCTCCCTTTTTGGGTTAGATAGATAAGCCCCATTGGATCCCATTGGCATCCTTTAGGCGACTGGTTCCAAATCCGAGATTGTGGCTGGGAGTTGGATTTCGCTCCTCCTGGCACTTGCCCCCTAAGTGCCAGAGGAAAAGTTCTGGCGGGGCCCAGCTACGTGTTCTTCCAGCGTGTGGCGCACGAGCTGTCGCAGAGCGTGGTGAAGGAGCTGCGAGAGCGCTTTGGTACTGGGCGAACTCGTAGCTTGGAGTGGCGGCTGGAGGCGTTGAACCATGTCCAGACTTAGCCCACGGGTTTTTGTGTTTGCCATCTCGGGGTTGCCTTTATTTCCCTCTGAACCGGCAAAAAGTCCACTTTTGAGGCCAACTTCCTGTTTCCTTTGAAGCAACAACAGGTCTTTTCCGGCGAGGGCTCGGATCCGTTCGGCCCAGGAACAAGCTGGGTCAGCTGGTGGAGGAAAATGTGGACCGTATCTCCGAAGCGCAGAATGTGGATAAGATCATGCCCAGCGACATCAGAGGGCCATCCATCATGGTGAAGAATGCCATTGCCTTCTACCAGAAGCATCTCCCGGACTGGATGGCAGCATCAGTGCGCAGTGAGACGCTGCCACCCTTCATGCAGACGGAAGGGACCTGGGAGGTGATTCCTGAACCCAAGGGCGTGGGGCTCATCATCGCACCCTGGAATGCACCCGCGCTCCTGTGCATCTTGCCGCTGATGGGCATGCTGGCGGCAGGGAATGTGTGCATCATCAAGCCCAGCGAGGCTGCTCCGGCCACTGGGCGGCTCATGGCCAGGCTCATCTCACGGTACTTCCCAGAGCGGGATGTGGTCGTGGTGGAGGGAGGGCCTGAAACTGTGCAGAGCCTCATGGAGGAGTCAGTGGACCACATCATGTTCACTGGCGGCGCAGAAGTCGCCAAGAGGATCATGGCACAAGCGGCTCAGCATCTCACTCCTTTGACGCTTGAGCTGGGTGGCAAGAACCCTTGCTATGTTGATGCAGCCGATGGTGAGAACCTTGCAAAGTACGCTGCAGAGATCATTTGCACCAAGCTGTACTTTGGAGGTCAGTTTTGCCAGGCGCACGACTACTGCTTGGTTCATGAACAAGTGTTTGATGACTTCGTAGGCAAGTGCGAGGAGATTATCCAAGAGCTTGGACCCAGGAGAGCCATCTCAATGGTGAGCTCCGCACACGCCAAGAAGCTCAACGTCATGTGCACAGATCTCCGCAATTTGGCCCGCCCCGCACTTGAGGAAACTGTTGAGGGGGAAGTTCCATTGACTCTTTTCCTGGATCCGCCCACGGACTCGGCCATCATGCAGCGCGAGATCTTTGGGCCTCTCTTGCCGATCCTCCGTGTTCCTGGGCCCGCGGAAGCAGTGGCCTTCGTCCGCGAACGGGCGCAGCCTCTGGTGGTTTACTGCTACTCCCCGGACCAGGAGGTTGCTGATCTCTTCCTGTCGACATCGAGCGGCAATTTAGCCATAAACTGCGGCCTGGCACAAATCGGTGCGGTGGGTTCCTGCCAAAGGCACTGCAGAGCTTGAGTGCGTCTTGAAGTTGAGAGATACCACTTTTGGCGCGCAATTCCCAGGGAGGCCCAAAGGAGAGGCGAGGTTTTCTCTGTGGTCCAGCTGCCCAGGTGGCCCTCAGCGGATGCAGAGCAACTTCAACGTTGGCTTCGGCGGTGTTGGCCAATCTGGATTCGGGCACAGCATTTGGGGGAAGGCTCGCGTGCCATGGGCCATGGGCACACGTGGCACCCTGTTTTGAGAGCCATATCAAATATCAGTGGCCACAAACTGCAAACGCGATGGGATCAGTTCGCCTTGCCACAATTTGTTAGAGGCCACCAAAGTCGGCTGTCAATCACCACATGGACAGAAGATGTGCGCCCTTCCCGGAAGGCCTGCTTCGACGACTTCTCGCATCACAAAACTGTTTTCAAGGCAGGGAGGCTGCGTCGAAGAGGGGTGTGAGGCTTTGAAGGACAAACCCAGGAACTTGCGTCCAGGCATTTACGTCCAACTTTTGTTCAACCCCACGCGTGCAGGGGAAGAGCTTCGCCAGCAGCACCTGGGGTCCGCCCAAAGGCGCGCGGCGGGGGGATCGGACAAGTGCTGCTTCATTTGGAGAGGGTGAAACTCCTCAAAACGCGGGGGGGCAAAAGGCAAGTCAGCTGGTGGCAAAGGTCTCATGTATGGAGGTCCAACGATCAGCGGGCCAGCCTTTCCATTTCAAGAATCATTCAAATGGTTGAATTCTTGAGCCACAATCAAGACCCGCGCAGGGAACAATCCCAACCATGAATAGGCGCGGCCCAGCCTTGTGATCCGTCACATTTGGCTTCGGTAGACTCGTGTTGATTACTCAGCATCTGGCGGAAGCCCAACAGCGAAATTTTGCGGGGTTCCCAAACTTAAGGGCTGAAGGGCTGCCGCCCTGCCGCTTGCCTCCTAAACAAAGAAATAATTCCTTAACAATCCTCAATTAATCCTCGGAAACAAAAGGAGATTGTCCCTTTTCCAGGTCCGCTTGTTGTCCTTTTGCATCCCCAGCATCAAACAGTTTCTTTATTAAGGAACTCGTGATGCTCAAGGATGATGATAATACTATGATGACAACGATGACGATGATGATGATGATGATGATGATCCACCCTTCCCGTGCGCCTTCCTGGAGGATTTCAGATGTGCCTTTCTTGGGAGAACCTTCTTAAAGGGAGCCCACCGGGAAAGCAGCCATGTGCGGGTTCCCTAATTTTGAAACGCATCAGGTCTCCTTCAGCTTGATTTGATGTCTCTTGCCCTGCAGGCGCTGGGCCGAAGTGAGCTGCCTCAGTCGGGCGGTACAGAGGCCAGGTGTCAACTTGCCCAAGAGCCTTCGGCAAATACTCATTTGCACAAAATATGGGTCGACAGCCAGACTCTGATCCACAGACGTTGGGTGGCCATCAAGTTTTTTTATCATCTGAGTCTCAAATCAGATCCTGGAAAAGTGGGCCCTTGGGGATGAACAAAGCGATGTCCAGAAGTTCCTAAAACCAGGCAACTTCAGCTTTTGGGCGCTCTCACGACACCCACCGCCAGCCCATTTTCGCCTTCCGGCCATTGGGCTTGTAGCTTCATGGCAAGGAGTGGCAGAGACCTTTGAGTGTCTCGTGTACATAGCTGCACTCTGTGGTGCCCTTATATGCCGAAGGGGACAGGCAGTGGGACAGAAGAACCCACCCTGTGGCAATGGGAGGGGATGGGTGGGGCAAAAACAGAGCAAGTACCCATTGAAACAGGTTTTGTGTGAGAAAGCCTTTGTGTTCAACATGCCGTTTCAGACGCTGTCAATGAAGACACGTTCACTTTCGCATGTTTGTCAACCTCCTTGCATCTCACAGGGTTTGCTCAAATTACCATGCACTATCTCAGACTCTTGGAGGATCTTGGAGGATGCTCAGTCCACCATAGATCGTCGCTTGAAGGCCCATCGAAATTTGGTCTGGAAATCCACGTTCATGTTTGTTCATTGTTCTTTCCCTCTTCACCTTGTTTCACATGTTTGCAGTTTCTGTCTTGAAGATCCAAGTGCCCGCAACAATTTGTTTTGAGGGGTTTCAGGTGTCAAGGCATCTTAGGTACTTTGACTAGCTGCGGTGCTTGTGCCGGTCTTCCCTAAAGTGAAACATTCTCCGGGGTTGTCAAACTGTTTGAATCACTCGGTTTTGAGGATGTCGCCCGCGAGGATCGGAACTGAGCTTCCGCCTCAGCAGCGAGGCAGACTTCCGCCAGGCGGGAGCTGGAGTGGACGGATGTGGGTGCTGATGTTTGGAGGAATCCCTTTTTTGAGTGAGCCAACAAAGCAAAACAAAAGACGCTTAAAACAAAGCATAGAACACAACACCGGCCTCCTTTAAGAAGCCTAGGATGGCTTCCCAAATCCAATTTCACAGTGATGGAATTTACCAGAAACGGTCAAGACATCCAAACCAGTCCGTGGCTCTCGGTACACCCGTGCCCCAGACGCTCCGCGAATCAAGCTCAACTTTCTCCGCAGGGGCGGGCAGCAGCCTCAGCTGCCATAGTTCGGTCATGTGAACCATTCAGTGATCATGTTGACATTGCCCAGGTGAAAACGACCTCATTTTGGGTTCAAAGGGATGGCCATTTTTCAGTACAGGGAATGTTTGGTTGACTGCTCGCTAGAAAGTGTACCGGAACCCAGCCGCAGTTCCGCTGCTCTGCCTAATGCAGTTGGCAACAGCGTCCGAGTCCAAGGTTCGGAGGCTTTGGAGCCGATCCAGGAGACTGCTCGAATGCAGACATGGGCAGCAGGTACAATTGACTCCTGGTTGAAATTCAAACCTCGTATCACACTCTCAGGTGAGTCTCGCCTTTGCTAGGAAGATGCTAGAGCAGTCACGCCTGAGGCGCGTAACAGCCGCAGATCGCAACGCAAACGTTCACCAGAGTTTGGCCGATCGGTCAGTACTTAAGCTTTGGCTGACTTCGCAGCTTGCACAGGCTGATCCCGCAGAGCCCGAGGAGGCCGAAGAGAATGAGGAGGAGGAGGCTAAGGAGGCGAGCAAGGAAATATAAAGCATATTATAATCTGCTGTGCAAGCATGCATGGTTTTTGGCCGTCCAGCCATTGACTGGTTATCGACAGGCAGCGTTGCAGCTGGCCGAGGCTGATGCCGCAGAGGCTGACGAGGCTGAGGAGGCAAGGCTTTACGCGTACGCTGGGAATATAAGCATGCAAAGGTGTTTAGCCAGCAGGACATTGGCTCGTCATTGACAGGCATCCGCCGCAGCTTCGCAGCTTGCGGCTGATGCCAGAGAGGATGCTGAGGAGACCGATGAGGCTGAGAAGGCAAATAAGGGCATATCAGGCCAATTGAGTCAAGTTAAGATTTTAGGGCCCGGTTTTGGCATGCTTCCGCACATGAAAAAAACGTGTCAGCTGCGTAAGCTCTCGTAAGGTTTGTTGTTCAAACTAGGGCCGCGTATGCTCCGCGGCAGCTCTAGTCTACGAAGTCATTGATTGGGTTATTGAATGTTATTGATGTTGGAGTGCCCGTATGTGAATTGGTGACCGTGGGTCGGTCAGCCCACTTTGCGCCCAATGTTTGGATTGCTTTGCAAACCTGGGCAAGACATCCGCGTAAGCACGTAGGCTCGGCGTAAGCCCGTAAGCCACGCGGAAGCTTTTCAGCCGTGAGTCTGGGACCCTGGCAACGTCGCGTACGGAAAAGTCGCAATTATCAAGCTGGAGCTGCCAAAAGGTCTTCCCGCGCCAATTGGACTCGACTGCTGCGAGCTGGGGGCCGGTGTAAGCAAAACCTGTGCCACGTAAGCCCCGCGTAAGGTTCGCAGAAGCAGCAGCCAGTAGAACCAAAGCTCTGCTCAACTGCAAATAAGGTTTGAGGGGTCATGGCCTGGTCATCGACAGGCAGCCACCTGTGCAGCTTCGCAGCTTGCGGGGGCTGCTGCCGCAGAGGCTGACGAGGCCGAGGAGGCAAGGCTTTGCGGGTACACTGGGAATATAAGCACGCATCGTGTTTAGCAATCAGGCCATTGGCTTTGCATCGACAGGCATCCGCCGCAGCTTCGCAGCTTGCAGAGGCTGATGCCAGAGAGGCTGAGGAGACCGAGGAGGCTGAGGAGGCAAGCAAGGGTTTATCAAGCAAATCGGCAAGCAGGTTTTGTGGGTACTTTGGATATACAAGAATGCATGGTGTTTAGCCGTCCATCCGTCGGGCCATTGGCTCGACCTCGACAGGCAGCCGCCAGTGCAGCTTCGCAGCTCGCGGAGGCTGATGCCGCAGAGGTTGATGAGGCTGAGGAGGCAAGGCTTTGCCGGTACGCTAGGCATATAAGCATGCATGGTGTTTTGCCATCGGGCTATTGGCTTTGCATCGACAGGCATCCGCCGCAGCTTTGCAGCTTGCAGAGGCTGATGCCAGAGAGGCTGAGGAGACCGAGGAGGCTGAGGAGGCAAGCAAGGGCTTATCAAGCAAATCGGCAAACAGGTTTTGTGGGTACTTTGGGTATAAAAGAATGCATGGTGTTTAGCCGTCCATCCGTCGGGCCATTGGCTCGACCTCGACAGGCAGCCGCCAGTGCAGCTTCGCAGCTCGCGGAGGCTGATGCCGCAGAGGTTGATGAGGCTGAGGAGGCAAGGCTTTGCCGGTACGCTAGGCATACAAGCATGCATGGTGCTTTGCCATCGGGCTATTGGCTTTGCATCGACGGGCATCCGCCGCAGCTTCGCAGCTTGCAGAGGCTGATGCCAGAGAGGCTGAGGAGACCGAGGAGGTTGAGGAGGCCAGCAAGGGCTTATCAAGCAAGTAGGCAAACAGGTTTCACGGGTATTTTGGGTATAACAGCATGCATGGTGTTTAGCCGTCCATCCGTCGGGCCCTCGACAGGCAGCCGCCTGTGCAGCTTCGCAGCTTGCGGAGGCTGATGCCGCAGAGGTTGACGAGGCTGAGGAGGCCGGAAAGGGCAGAGTTGCTTCTGCTTTGATCATTAGATTGTATAATTCTTCATTTGAGCGTATGTAGATCCATATCTGAGCATTGGTGCGTGTAGCTTGTCATAAGATGGTTGTGCATTACAATTGTTTGGGCTCAAGCGTCCTTTGATTGCTCCAATGGTGTTGGTTTGGTGAATCCCTTGTTTCAATGAGCTGTACAAAATCTGCGTTGACCGGCTGGTGAATGATGCCTTTCGTCAGGCAGACGGCTCCGAGTCGTCCGGGTCTTCGTCGGAGACATCCGAATCTGAATCTGATTCAGAGGACACAAATGGAAGCGGGGAAGCAGTTCAAGTCGGAGCAGTCCGAGTATTGTTCCTTTGGCGCAATGCAAATCCCCAAGACCGCAACAAGCACCATTTGCCAATCCTGCGTCGGAGCACTTGATAGACTGTTTGCCTTACTCGTTCCGGCAAAGTGGAGGTTGAACCAGACTTTGTCACTGGCTTTTTAGGCTGTTTTTCCAGGGCGGGTTTGCAAAGTCGACAGTCAAGATAGTTAAGCCTTCACAAGCCGAAGGCGGCATTTCTGGCAGGACTCAGAGTCGGAAGCCTCCGAAGCTTCAGATTCCAAGGCCACGAGCCCAGAGCTGGGTTTAGCTTCAGAGGCCGCCCAGACTTTGCTTCACAGAGACTTGAGGTGGGCATCTCATGCGCCTCCCCGGCCACAGATGCCGGCGAGGACGAAGGCGACGTCTCGTGCAGGCAGGAGGAGGAAGACCAGGAGGAAGGTCGGGAGCTGAGGGGCCAGCCAAAGACGGCATATTTGAAGACTTGGCTGACCCTTGTGGCAGAGCAACAAGATAGATACACTGTTCAGCTCTGACGCTTCCAGGTTTCGCATCACCAGCGTCTGCAAGCCAGGCGACTGAGGCGGGGATACAGTAATGATGATTCAAGGCCCCCCCCGGATCAGATTTGCTCCCTCAAGCCCTCAAGTAGTTTATTATATATTGACTTATGAGTTTAATATTGGTTCAGTATTTCTTCAGCAGTGGTTTTGTATTTGATGTAGTATTGGCTTTTTATTGGCTTGGTATTGCTTAGTGCTGCCTTGCTACCGGGTAAGCGTTGGAATAGTATTGCTTGGTATTGGTTTGTATTGTGTTGTGTTGTTTTAGTATCGGTCCTATTTGGTCTTCAGTCCTCTCTGCTTAGTATTGGTTTAGTATTGGTTTTGCATGAGTTGGGTGTTGGTCAAGTATTGCTAAGTGCTGCGCTAGCACTGGTTTAGCATTGGTTACCCTTCTTCCGTGTAGCATTGCTTTTTGACAATTGAGTGCCCTGTATCAGGGGCTCAGCTGTCCCCCTTGGAAAGTTGTTGGCCTGGCGCTTTTGAACATCAAAGACTTGGTGGTGGTGGTGGTGGTGGTGGTGGTGGTGGTGGTGGTGGTGGTGGTGGTGGTGGTGGTGGTGGCGTCTCGGCAAAGAGAAGGGTTGGTGAAGATTTATGGGGAGATCCTATCTTATTTGTTCGTGAGGAAAGCAACTTCTTTTTGAAGTGACGTATCCCTTTCTTTTTAAGAGAGAGTGAACAAATTCGGGAAATACTTCTTGTATTCAAACAGGTAACCTCAGTAATTAGCGATTTCTGGATCCCATGACGATATTCTATACTTCGAGTTTTGGAGTGTATGGAGCGTGTTCTTGTGCACGGAGCTAACTGGCCAAACACAACTAAGTATTGTTTCGCCTTGTTTCTGGATGTCTGAATGCTGTTCTCCAAGATCGGTAGGCTTAACTTCGGATCTGGGTCTGTGGAGGAGTCTTCCTTTGAGCGCTCGGAGCTGTCTGCCACTGCGCTTTGGCCAGACACTCAGATTCGGAACCGGCCTCCGGTGGGGACTCGAGACCCAACCAATGTTGTCCATTGGAGGCGGAACCGGATTCTGGGACGCGCGGCTGCCCTGCCCCGACCTGAGCCTTCCAGGGCAATTGTATTTTGATTGAAATGAGCCGCCTAAATGACGTCCACCAAAGTCCCTCCCCCAATAAAATTCACACCCATATAGCCCTACCAGGAAGTGTGAGACCAGTATATGGAGAACCAAGCTCTGGGTCAGAGCTTTCCGCAAGGCCGCAACTGGAGAAGGTCGCGATTCACAGTCCCGCCAGGCGGCATTTTTGGGGCGCAAAGGCCCCCCGTGTTCGCTGCTCAGCCATGGTGTGCAGGACACGGCAGCCGCAGCCAAGCGTGCCTCAGTGCGCCAAGACTTGTACGACTCATGCGGAAAGGAAGGCGCTTTGGTTTCTCCACGAGGAGCATGGTTTCCACATGTTTCAAGCAATACATGACTGGCAGTTTCTTTATTCCGCATATCAACCAATGCAAAAGGATTGAATGACTTTGGCGGCACAGTCCGAGAAAGTTGGAACGCACCTGCTGCGCAGCCTCAGCGCCCTTCTGGGTTCCATTCACTGCCAACTGCTTTGAGGTATGCAGCTCGTCCAAGCCCAGCATTCAAGCCCAAAGCATCTAGCAGGCACGTGACGACACGCACATTGGAAGCCACATCGCCAGGCCTTCGTCAGTGCTTCCAATGGGCTTGTTTGCCGACTGGTTTTCTGCAAATGGTGAGTCTCATGAATTCATAGCCACCAAAGCGATTCATCCTTTTGAGGCGCACCCACATTGGTGGCAACCTCTTCCATGCAGGATGCTGGAGCTGTCTGGCACCGATGCGCTGGTGTCCTTGCGCTTCAGTGCCAAGGAGTTGGCCAGAGAGAAGCGGGTTCCCCAGCGAGTTCAAAGTGCACTGCAAAATCCGGCATGGAAGTCTTAGAACCTCAAACTTGCAACAAGGATTCTTCTGTAGGTGGTTTTGGGTTGCCAGTTGTCCTGAATCGGGGGTTGGTCTTTTCGGGGTCCGTTTCGGTTCATGCGGGCCCGCCTGGCGGTCAAGGTGTGAAGGGTGAATTCGGCATTGCCGAAGTATTGAAGGGCCGACCAGGCACCATGGTAGACAAGTCACGTAAAGTCCCCTTCGTGTCTTCCACGTGGGGATCCTGAGAAGATGTGATGTGTGGGCGCGTTGACCAAAGGAAGCGCATCTCTGAAAGCTTAGGCTAAAGATGTTGCAGCAGCATCGCGAAGCTCAGATGCAGTCGATTGAGGCTCAACTTGGCATCGGTTCAGCCATGGCCAAACTCGCTCCCAGGCATCGGGTGAGAAAATGATGGTTTAACCACACATCCCTGTGCAACCGGAATGGGGTAAGCCCAGGCCACAGGGCTGATGATCCTGTCAACATGTTTCCTTTGTCAGGAGGCTTTCGCGTCTATGTGCTTTGGGAAGTTCAGAGAATGGTGCCGTGGTTAGCGCTTTGCAAGGATGTCAGATGTGTCCAGCCATGAAAGTCCAATACCCCCACCAACACAACAATGACAACCATGACTATGTTTGCAATATAGGCTATACAATATACATAACATCATTGGTGCAACGCCCGTAATTAAAGGTGCAACCGCGCCTTGGCAGGCATGCAGCTCCCTGCCTCACCTGCGTGAGGACGGCGTCAGGCCCTTGGCTGTTGAGATAAGCAAAGTGGAAGTTGAGACTGGCGCCAGATGAGAATTTTCAGCTGACATGCGCTTGCTCGCACCTTTCAACGCCTGAGGCGAGAGCTGGGCAGCTGGGATTGAAGCAGGCCCGAGTCTAGTTCTTTCTCAAGAAGCCCTGGATTGGCTTGAAAAAGCACTAGCCCTGAAGGCTGTCAAGGGCTTCGGTACACCCTCGCAGGACCCTGTTGCAACATTAGGCTAACCTATGTTTGGCCATGTGGCCCTATGGGCGTGTTGCCGTGTCTTCCAGCATGTCCCAACATCCTGCATGGTTGTCCTCAGTATCAATGATTGGCTTATCCGAGTTGGAACGTGCCACCTGGGGCGGTGCGAAGATGTGCATGCGGAAGGCTCGCAACGACAAGGTCAAGCTGAAGGCAAAGACCGAGCTGCGTGTCTTAGAGTCACATGTGCATGCATCAATCTTTGAAGAAGTGCTCCAAAGACAACTTGCGGCCAGGCGATGGCCAAGGCAGGAGACATGGGGGTCGCTGCCTGTTCTTTGCACATAGATGCCTTTGTTGCAATGATGAAATAATATTTAACTGTATTCGGTGGGGATGCATGTTGTGCTTGACACTTTCAAGCGTGTCCATGGGGAATGCAACATCCCCTACATTTTGCTCAAAACTGCTGCAGTCCCAGAGTCTGCCATCGATCTCGCGCGGATGGTGGCGGGCTGAGCCAGCAAAAATGCTTCAATCCAATTCATGATCTTGGTAGATTGGATTTTGGAAGAATGATGCGGCACACTCTTGCGTGCCTACTCAGTTCGCTCACAGCTCATGCGCAGAGACAAGCAGCACAGGTGGGAGAGACAGAATCACAATCGAATCCGACTCATTCCTGTGCATTCCTGGGACGGGTTGACTTTTGCACGCCTCGTTGGCTTTTCAATGTGAGAAGTCTTTGCTGCCAGTCCTCCGGACTCAAAGTTTGCACGACTTGGCCCAAAGCCGGAGGCCAATCTCCATGGCCTGCCCCGGGCAGTTGACATGAGATGAGTGAGAGAGAGCCTTGGCAGAGTTCGTTTCACACGGCACATGCTTGCAGAGCATTGCGCACGTTGCTTGAAGCAATCATGGAACCCTAGTCCTTGTTGACCTGCAAATGCGACAAGCATGTCCATTTACATTCAGATAACGAATTCCTACGGCAGGGAAAAAAGAAAAATATAGCAAAAGGAAACTGGGAAGGAAAGTCCTGCAGTCTAGAGCCTTACATCTCTCGCGCACAGTGTGGAGCTCTGCATCACTCCCTGACAGATGTGGTTTTGATTTCGCAGATCCAGATCACCTGGTAGACTAGCTGTGGTGCTGACTAGTCATGCCAACCAGCAGCGGTAGGACTCATGATGCTAAGAGGCAGATGGTCCTCGTGACGCGGCGTCCCTCTTCAAAGACAACGCGCAAGCCATCTACTCACAAGATCGGCTTCGGGAGCAGAGCGAGAGTGTTTGCAGCTCCGTTGATGGTGAGACCTTCACCTTCAGATGTATCGGCGCGTGGAAGAGAAGATGCCGATTTTCTTTCCCATTTCCGCGCGAAGTTGACAGCAATTGTACGAGAGGAAGAGATGAAGGCCTGCAGGTGTGGTGCCTGTTGGCTGTCACCGCGGCCACCGCACTGGCTTTTGGTGGGTGGGCACTGGCTTTGGGTGATGTTGCTGTCGCGGCAGCTCCCCTTGTGCTCGGAACTGGAACGGTTTCCACAGCAGCTTTGCTGAGAGCGCAAGTTTTGTGTGAGGTGAATGAGGAACGGGATCGATTTGTGGAATGTTTTTTTGCCAACATCGAGCCGACTCTCAACGGTTCAAGTCTGAGTGCACGCGCGAGATCGAGATCTTTGCTGGGGCACCACATCTTGAGCTGGCTATTCCTTCGCATGACCACGTGATTGCCTGGCTTTCCCTTTGGCCCTTCCTTGTGCAAGCACATCAAGTCCGGGAAGCATCCTGACCAGATTCCCGCACGCGCACTCCTGAAAGCGTTCCGGCATGGCGCCGCAGTTGTAGCAGCGTGCTAGCGCTCAAAACAATACCGAAAACGATACCAAAACGATCCCCCGGAATTGTAGCTGTCACCAGGCGCGGGGGATGGCAAACTTCTTTATGAAACGTAACTTGTCGCTTGAGCTCGCTTCTTCGCTCGCTCCTTTTGCTCCTTCTGTTCTTCGTCCCGTCCTCGTTCCATTCCTGATCTATTTCTTGCTCTCGCCTCGCGTTCCGTTGCACTCGCGTTACGTTACACGCGTACTTTGCGGTGCGTGCGTGCGTTTGTGTGCGCACGTTTGTGTGCGTACGTCACGTTGTTGGGAATATAATCAATATAATGTATTATTAATAAAATAAATTTATATTATTATTATATTATATATATATATGTATTAGCGTTAGTTAACACAATATAATGAAATTAGATTATATTGTTTTTCTTTATAAATCGAAATAATTGATTGTAATGATTTATATGATTGTGATTTAAAATTAGTGAATATATATATTATATATTTTAATTTATGTTTATTGGGGATTGGGATGCTTAATTGGGGGTATGGGGTGTTTTGATTTATGGTTATATATATATAGGGATATAATTGGATTTATTATTTTATTTTTTATTATTTTATATTGCATTATATGTGCAAGGGTTAAAACACGTTATATAGAGGTCTTGATTGTGGCCGCCATGATATAATTGTTTTTTGAAAAACATGTGTGTAGTGATAGGGGGCATTGAGTAGTGACACCCTTATTTAGGGCTTGTATGTATGTAAATCCCCATGGAATATGTTTGTAAGTACCTTTTTATTTGCACGGGAACGGTGAGCACATTATGGAAGTCTAAGTCCCCGCTGCGATGCTAGACAGGTTTGAAGGATCTCGTCTTGGCAATTTGAGCGTTCCAGTTTAAGAGGTGCTCCGTCGCCTTGGCGGGGATAGACGACGATACAAGCAAAAAAGAGGCATTGTGCTTTTGAAGTAGGGTTCCGGCAGTCCCTGGGAAAAAATCCGGCACCCGTAGCGACACCCAAAGCGACACCTTTCAGATTATGGAGCGACGCCCAAAATCCCTTCAGGTAGGCAATTGCCCCTTCGCGTACTGCACTTGCGTGCTACACTTGTACTACAAAGTTGCGATTTCCAAGCTGGGGCTGCGGACGTGTACTTCGAGTGCTACACTTGTACTACAAAGCTAGGAGCATGTCCTTGACGTAGAGGAACCGGCGGGAAGTGACCGTCCCGTGCGTCGAGCAAGCACTACCATCTCTTCCGCAGTAGCCCATGGGGAAAAGGCATGAAAGGAAGGAGGTTGAGGCAACTTTGGTGCTGAAAAGCTGAGACCTTCCAGCCGAGATGCGAGAAATGAGCTGGCGCTATGTGCAGCGACAGGGGGCCTTGAAGAGCGACACCCCAGCCAGCCATGACAGCCAACCACAACACATGTTTTGACCGCCGCACATATGATATAATTTGATATTATTTTATAATTCTTCTATAAATCGGTATGAATTCGAGGTCGCGTTTTTCGTACACCGGAAAGTAGTTGTAGCAGTATTCTAGCCGAGTTTCAATGTTTGTGTTTGTGAAATTTAGAAATTCGGTTAATTGTTTTTCGAATTTCGGGTCGTTGCCGGCGATATGGCTGTTAGATTTCCGGAGGTCACCCCGACAAATTGCTTTAGAATTTGGTGATTTGTCGAAAAAAATATTGTTTAATTTGTTTCTTTTTGGTGTTTGTATTTCTTTATGTTTATTGTTTGTTTGTATTTCTCTGTCGCTCGGGTTGGCTCGGTTTGTCTTTGTTTTTATGTGTTTATGTTTGTCGTTCGTTTTTTTTGCGTTTTTTGTGTCTTTTCGTATATTTTTGTGTGTTTGTGTTTGTTTATTTGGTAATATTTGTTTATTTGTGTTTTTGTTTATTTTTATCTTTTTTTTTATTTGCATTTGTTTCTACGGGTCGGTTCAAAAAAATGTCATATGTCCGTGTTGTCGCGTGCCGTATCTCTCCCCCTTCTAGATTTGATTTCGTCCGTGTTGTTGCGTGCTGTATTTCCCCCTTTTAGATTTCATTTTATTTTTCTTCTTTTTGTTGTATTTTTGTGTTTGATTGTTTCTAGCATTGTTCTTGTTTGCTTGTTTCTTTCTTTATCTTTTCTCTCTGTTTTCTCTTTCTCTTCTCATTTTGTATTTTTTCTCTTTCTCTTTCTTTGTCTTTCTCCTCTTTTCTCTTTGTCTTTCTTTTTTTTTCTCTTTATCTTTTTTTTATTTATTGTTTTGTTTCTCTTTTTTTCTTTTTCTTTGTATTTTTGTTCTCTCTTTCCTTGGTGCCATTTTATCGCCCATAGGATGAGGGACAGTTTGCCTAAGTCCTGTTGGCGTATCGGTTGGTTTTTTTTTCGGGGCCGGAGACATTTTTTAAGAACCGTTGTTTCCGCCTCGGTATCTCCGCTAGTAGTAATTCCTCCTGTTATGGGTCTTTTATTCTTTCTTTTTTTCTTTGTTTTTCTCTTTTTTTTGTTTTGTTTTTTATTTATATATGTCTTTCCTTTTTTTTCTCTTTCTCTTTCTCTTGTTCTTGTCTTTTTTCTCCTTCTTTTCTCTCTTTTTCTCTTTCTCTCTTTTCCTTTTTCTCTTTCTTTTATGTTCATGTTTTTCTTCTATTTTGGTTTTCTCTTTGTCTTTTTCTTTTTTCATTGTGTTTTTTTCTTGTTTGTTTTCTTTGTTTGTTGTTTTCTCTTTTTTTCTCTTTTTGTTTCTCCCTTTTTCTTGCCTCTTTGGATTTTTTGTTGGTATTGCCGTTGATGGAATTTACGGTTTTTTAGCTTTATATATTTTGGATATTTTGGTTTTATAAACATAAATATTTATGTATGTTATTTTGTTATTATAAATTTTAGTTGTATTATATAAATTCTATATTATAATTTTGGGTGGTGATTTGGAATTATAAATAATATATTTTATGATTCTGTGAAGAAATAAAATATTGGAATTTATATTAAAAAGTTTTAGAAACTTATATTATATATATTATTTATAATTATACTATATATATATATTTGTAATATATATGTATATAATATATATATAATTATATTTAAATAATTAATATATGTGTAACGTTCAAAATATCCGTCTATATATTTATCAGGGACTATGTCATATCGACCCGTGGCGTAAGCAAAACTTGCACGGGCGTAAGGCGGCGTAAGCAACTGTCACAAAAACATGTCGCGCAAACATTCCGCGTAAGTTATTGTTCAATCAGGTTGTTTGGAATATCCTATGTGTTGCTTCAGCCATGTTGTTTGTCATATCCATGTGTTTCTCATTAGTCACGTGCTTGTTATATCTACCCATTGGGCCTTATAAAGCAATATTGTCCTTTGTTACTACACAAGGATAGGGCGAAGAAGCTCCTGCCGCTGATCACTCCGGCCAAGGTGACCGAGCTGCGGCGCTCACGGCCCACACTCTTCAATCAGTATCTTGAGCGCACCAACACCGTCAAGGCCACGGGCATGACTAGCACGGTGTCAATTGTCATCATTGGCAAGGACACCAGGTTCTTGTACTTTGGTGCGGAAGCTGAGGCCCGCTTCAATGTGTCCCCTGACACGCGCCAAGGCGATCACAGTGGTACTGGCGCCGCCCAGCTCCACTGGCCCGCTTGGCATGCTGCAAACGGCGTCCGCGCGCTTTATGGCCGTCTGTCCGCCGGCTCTTCAGCAGTCAGCGGATCGCGCGGCTCAAGACCTGCTTAGTTTGGTTTCGGGCCTGGAGGACCTTCTACGTGGCATGGCGCCTATCATATTGGACGCGCTGCCTGCTGGAATGAGCTCCTCCTTGCACTTTCCCTAAAGCGGGACGATGTGGCTGCAATGAAGTTGTTCTTCCTCCTCTTCGTCTTGCTCCACGGCTCGTCATCTGCGTAAAAGGAAAATGTGCTTACGTAAGCCGTTTCCACGGAATTGCATCCGGTCTCTCTGGCATAATGACTGTATAAGGCCTACTTGAAGCCTATGTGCCGCGTAAGCGAAAGCACGGTGCGCGTAAAGCTGCGTAAGGA